CTCAGATGAAAATTTCGTCGGCATAATTAACTCCAAAGATCATTTTTTATCTAATAGGATGGTTGGTTCGGGTTTTGAGGGCTTTTATTTTTAGGTGTGTGCCGTTAGGTGTTTTAAATTTTATGTTTTTGGCCAAAATTTGACTTTGGTCAATATTTTTGTGAACGTGCTCAGATGAAAATTTCGTCGGCATAATTAACTCCAAAGATCATTTTTTATCTTAATAGGATGGTTGGTTCGGGTTTTGAGGCTTCCATTTTCAGTTTGTGCTGTTAGGCGTTTTAACTTTTAAATTTTGGCCAACATTTAGATTTGGTCAATATTTTTGTGAACGTGCTCAGATGAAAATTTCGTCGGCATAATTAACTCCAAAGATCATTTTTTATCTTAATAGGATGGTTGGTTCGGGTTTTGAGGGCTTTTATTTTTAGGTGTGTGCCGTTAGGTGTTTTAAATTTTATGTTTTGGCCAAAATTTGACTTTGGTCAATATTTTTGTGAACGTGCTCAGATGAAAATTTCGTCGGCATAATTAACTCCAAAGATCATTTTTTATCTAATAGGATGGTTGGTTCAGGTTTTTGAGGCTTCCATTTTCAGTTTGTGCTGTTAGGCGTTTTAACTTTTAAATTTTAGCCAAAACTTGACTTTGGTCGATATTTTTGGTAAACGTGCTCAAAATTAAATTTTTTGATATAATGATATGTGTCATATTGAGATTAATTTAACTTGTTATCACATATTTTGCATTGTTTCATTCAAATATGATTTATAAAATTGATATTAGTATTTTGGATTTATATTCGTGCTCTTAGATTTTTAAATGCAATAAATTAATAAATATTTTACTATTGGATAATCATTCAGTTAATAATATTTTGAACATATTGTCAATCAATTACTAACCTAACATTGAACTTGAATGATATATTACCAACAAACTAACAATTAAGAAGTAGATTTATTAGAAAAACAAATAATCATACTAACGTATTTAAAATTTATTACCAACAAGGGTTGTGGTGGAGTGGTAAGTACTCTTACATCCTTAACCAAGAGGTCTCAGGTTCGATTCCCCTTGGGTACAGATTCGCCTTGAATGATATATTACCAACAAACTAACAATCAATTAGTAAATTTATTAGAAAAACAAATAATCATACTACGTATTTAGAATTTATTACCAACAAGGGTTGTGGTGGAGTGATAATTACTGCATCATCCTTAATCAAGAGGTCTCAGGTTCGATTTCCCTTGGGTACGGAGTCGCCTTTGTTAGGGAGCGCTTTACTCCCCAATGTGGGACTTCCCGGCGTGAATCCGGATTTAATCGGGCTTTGGTGTGGGGTACCGGACACCGGATGGGAAACCAAAAAAAATAAAAGTATTTAAAATTTATTGGTAAATTACCAACAAATTTTTTCTATAATTATCAACGTAGTACCAACGGAATCGAATAATGAAGAAAAAAATTTACTAACTCCTTTTCAATTCGTTAGTAAAGGTACTAACGATATACTAACCAAAAATTAGTTGGTGAATTTACCAACGGAAATTTCAGGACCATGTTTCAAAATTTTGTAACAACATCTTTGGGTGTTTACCAACTGATTTTTGGTTGGTAAGTTTACCAACAAATTAAAATCGGTTGGTAATATTTACCGACGAGCCTTTTAGCAACAGATTAATATAAGTTGGCATTTGGTTGGTAACTCAATTTGCCAACCAATTATTTGATCAATTTACCAACGATTTTTTTTTGTTGGTAATTGGGGTTCTTTTTGTAGTGTTCTACTACTTGTTAAAAGGGTTGGAAAGAGGGACCCCTCGCACCGTCGTCGATTCGCTTGCAAACTTTCATGAATGGTCATGTGGTTTCTGAAAGGTTGCAACCATTCTGAACCAGTGCTTCTTGGCTATAAATACATGTGATTCCTCAGGCTTTTCACTTACGAAAATTTTGAACTTTTTCTTCTTCTTATGCACAAATTCATTATTCGTGTACACTACTACGGTTGAGTGGCTCGCTGACACCATTGTTTTGGGATTTTGGGATCAATACACTGGTGAATAGAATCGTTCTATCTTGAGAGGATATATTCCAATTCAAACCTCAGATACTAAAGGAGAATAATTTCCTTAAGGGGACAATGTGCATTTAGTGGACTCGATTTCCTTTCCTTTCTGTTTCATATGATTGTTACAGATTATGGTATGTTTTACAGTCATTAGTTTTTGTTAATTGATTTTTGTTCTTCACTACGTGATTTAAACTTTGGAATTTAAAGTAAGGCCTAGCCCCCCTTGCTTGCACTTATCCCTATTGATATTTTTTATGTTTAATAAAAGGCCACTAGACACTGTCTAGTGGTAAATTTGCGGAAAAAAAAAAACTTTGGAATTTACTGTTTATGCAAAGTTTTGTTATTAGTAGTCTTGATTTAAAATACAGATTGCATAACAATATATGCCCTTTAACTTGACTTCAGCTTGAATCTATGCCCTTCAATTTTGGTTATGCATAAGTAGACATTTTAATTTGTATAAAATTTTGAATAAATAAACACATGCATCTTACATAATTTTTTTTATGTATTACATGGAGTCCTATGTGTATTATGCCACATAAGACACATGCGTCTACTTGTGCGCACTCAAAGTTGAATGACATAGATGCTAGTTGAAGCTTTGGATATATACCAAATACACAACTGTAATAAGATTTGGTTCTTTTAACTTTTGACCTTGGAGGTTTGCCTACGGGGACTAGTAGTTACCCATTTTCCCGGTCATTCTGGTTTAAAAATGGACTGACTGCGGATAAAAAATATCTTAGAATAAGAAACAGATGTAGCTATTATATATAGTTAAAAGCCTGCACCAAACACAGATTATAAAGTAAACTTTGTTCATGATAGGTTTTTTCAATGTTGAATTTTGGAAGAATTAATATTTTTGGCCTTGACATTTCCATCTAAAACATGGAGTCCAGTTAAAGTTTATTTCTGCATCACAGTCTCAAGGGCCAACGTGCGTCTAATTACATTACATTAAACAGTAACAGGGCAACTCTACTTTGACATGTCACTCAAATATTTGGTCAAGCTAGCTGCTGTATGGAGCCACAAAAAATGCTGCATGCCAATAGAGTGTAGCCCTAATGCTGCATGCCAATATATACTTGAATTAAATGTTTACATTGGTTTTAATTTCTCCGTACCATTTTAGGAAAAATTGATGTCAAAACCAGTACTAGAAGGTATTGGATCATCATGCCAAATCAAGACAATTGACGATATTCAAATAGCTGCTATGTCATAGCGAATCACACAATCCACATGTGCCTTGGAAGAGTCTGAGGCACAACAAATTGCTCAAAATGTAAGCATGATCAGGACCATTGAAGAAATTAAATTCAAAGAACAAGTGATTAGCCTCGCTTGTTGGCGTAGGCAACCCGTTCTCCAAGTGGGTCTTCTAGTAGCGAGGACACTGAGAGTGATGATGAAGATAAATACATAGCCTCCACCCTTCAACATCCCTTTTGTATTGTTATTTTATGACTTTTGATACTTTAGAGAACATTTTGTGTGATGAGAATATAAGTTAGTTTGTTACAAATTGGTTGTAGTACAGTTAGTTAGAGTTAGTTACAGAGAAGTCAGAATTTGTACAGTTTGTTAGCTAGCTTTCAGTTTGTGTATCTATATATATATATAGAATCACATGTAATAGTTACTCTCTTAATTCACATTCAATGAAACAGATTTTTCATGTAGCTTTTCCAGAATCTTCTTCTTCTCTCATATGAACTCAATGTTCATCAATGGAGGAATTCGATTGTTTAGCAGCATAGTATGTTGATTTTCTCATGGTATCAGAGCCAGATCCATCCCAATTTGTTGTTCACCGATGTTGGTCCCCCATTTAGAAGTGTTCACACTCCAATTGAGGTCTGGGTGTGCGGGAGAGTGTTAAGAAGTCCTACATCGGCAGAAGGATGAGAATTTGATCTCCTTATATGGACTTGGACAAACCTCCCCTCATGAGCTAGCATTTAGGGTTGACTTAGGCTCAGGTGCCATATCTTTACATTTTGTAGTTTTTGGAATTTTTTTAAAGACTTTATAAGTCTTTATTTTATGGTTTTAGTGTTTAATGATGTTTATTATGATATTGTATGTACATGCTTAGTTGTTTGGTTTGTTTGAAATGGTTGGATCAAATATATATTGAATTGTATTTTAATTGCAGGTGGATAGTTTCTGTTGTCAAAAAAATACAGAAAAGTGACAGACATGGTTACTTTTGTGCGTCCCTTTTCTGAAATGTTTTTTGAATTTGCTTTTTTCATATTAAAGAACAAAGCAACGGACGGTGTCACATTTTTAAAAAAAATTAAAAAAATTGTAACACCGTCTAACACTTTCTTCTTCAGATTGAAGAACAAAGCGATGGACAATGTAAGGCACGTAACAGATTATGAAGCTCGTGAGCCCCTTTAATTTCCAGAAATCAGCTACGAGTTCAAAATTTTTTCACAATTGCAGTACACTAGGCAAGGCACGTAACAGATTATGATGCTCGCGCGCCCCTTTCCTGCTATGGCTACGGATATTTCACTTGTAGTCATAGCACCAGACAAAGATTATCAAGTAAAACTAGAGCTTTTACGAGAAGAGTCCTTGTTCATGATTTTGTTCTAAATGATGGAGTAGTTTTTTCTCAATGTTGATAATTTTGTTAGAATTGATATTTTTCGCCTTGACATTTATTTACACCTAAAACATGGAGTCGAGTTAAAGTTAATAGCAACACATAAAGTAAACATATAATTCAAATAGAAGGGACTTAGCTAAGGCGATAATTAATTAATCGTTGTTTCTACAAAGAAGAAAAACAAATGTAAACTTTAGTCAAGGCAAGTATAACAATACCTTTTGTGTCACAGTATCAAGTGCGACGTGCGTGTAATTACATTACATTAAGTAGAGATAGTAATAGGGCAACTCTCCTTTGGCATATCAGCTCAAATATTTGATCAAATTGCTACTTAGAGCCACCAAAAAAGCTGCATGCCAATAGAGTGTAGCCCTATCACTATTTCCTTTATTATTACTATCATTCACGAACTTTTCTTTGTCATTTTTCTGCTTCTGGTTCATCACAATAGAGCCTTCCATGTTTTTATAGAGCGTTCCTTCTCAATTTAAGAAACGGAATAAACCCCTAGAGAATCGGCATATCCTATCATTTATTTTTATGCTGTGTGACCTGTAGATATATATCTTCTTGCATTGAGGGTTGCTTTTTCTAAAGTCAGAAATGGGACAGTAACTTTTCTTATCGTTTACATATTCCATTTGGTGAAAGCTCTTTTAAAAAATATATTTTCATCAGATTCTTCCTCTTGCATTGTTCTTGAATTTAATTTGTAGATGCTTCTTGATTTTATGCGTTCGAAGTGTGCCATTTGACACTTAAATTAGGACCTTCAAACAACATATATATCTCTTTCTTTTAACTTTTCATTTGACTTTTCAATTTACAAAATTCCAGTCTTGCTTATATGTTTTTAAATTTTAATTAATATTCCAAGTTTCCAACCCCTTTGGAAGTCATGTTGTTGAGTAGCCAGAGTTTGAAAACTGTTCAACACTTTTTAATGCGAATATAAAGTGGACTATAATGCACCTAGCTAAAACACGAAACATATCCAGGAAATTATGTTGTAGTTTACTAACTTTAATCATTTCAAATTATAGAAGTCAGTGGCGTAGCTAGAAATTTCACGAAGGGTGTTTAGGAATTGTACACGAGTACATTTTTCTTTTGGATGAATGAGTGCACTAGAAATTTTAAAAATTAAACTATGTAATATACATGAATTTTTTTGAAAAAAAGTATGTAATATACATGAAAAAAGAGGAAAAAGATGAAAGAGTGCACTCGAAATTTTAAAAATTAAACTACATAATATACATGAAATTTTTTGAAAAAAAGTACGTAATATATCAGAGATTTGAACTCGCAAACGCTTAAAGACTTGACTCTTTCAAGGCACCTTAAACCACTAGGCTACAACACCTTGTTGTGTTAAGAGTGTCCATAATATGTTATTTAACCATTTTGTATATTATTTTACTTGTATATACGGTATAATTTCTCGACGAAGGGTGTTCAATTGGACACCCTAAAGAGTATGTAGTTACGCCCTTGACAGAACACAGAAGTAGATATGTTTTGCATACATGATAACGCACTTCGAGTAATAATATAAAAGGAATTAAGCAACCTTGAGAAACTGAATTGCCGCATAAAAAGCAAGAACTGGAACAGAAATTAAGACCAATCATATATAGAAATATAATGCAGATGGAAATAAAGAAGAGAGGAATATGCGGAGGATATGCTGTTTTAAGGTCCTTTGCCTCCTTTTGAGTCAAATAACAAATTTCAAAGGTGAAATAATAGAGCATCTCTTGGTTTGAACAACTTTTTTTTTTTTCCGCATTACACCTACAAATTTATGGAGAAGGCAACTGGGGGAATCTGATGAACATATTTTTTTTAAAGGAGCTTTCACAAAATAAAATTGTAAAGAGATAACAAAATTACCCTCATTTTCTGACCCATGAAAAAGCAACCCCCTCATGCATAAAAGCTATAGGATATCTCGATTCTCGAGTGGTTTATTCCATCTCTTAAATTGAGAACAAATGCTCTATAAAAGCTTGAAAGGGCTCTCTTGTAATGAACCAGAAGCAGAAAAATGAGAAAGAAAATGGTTGGTAAATGATAATAAGAGAAATAGTGATAGGGCTACTCTCTATTGACATGCATTAATATATGTATAGTAACTCCACTTTACTTTATCACATATTTCAATCAACACGCCAAAGGAGAGCTGCCCTAGTACTGTCTCTGCTTAATATACTAACTCAAAGGTCCGCTCTTAATACTCCGATGCAGAAAGTATTGTGGTACTTGTATTAAATGCTTACATTCCTTTTAATTTCTCCTTACTTTTTTGGCACGAAGTGATGTGGAAGCCATTCTAACTATCACATGGGCTCCTCTGATTTTCATTAATCGTATTCCTTTAAAGGTGTAATTGTCATTTGGGACAAAAATATGTAGAAAACCAGCTTTAGCTATCAAAAAGTTCAGCGATGGGTTGGCTTCTCGGGCTATAGAATCACAAAGGTTGCCTATTAAGTGCACATTATACCATTTTGTGTTAGATTCTAGGGGAACCTCAACTAAAGGATGGTTCAATTTAGTTTGGTAGCTCGAGGGGTATTTTATCTTATCACTAGAAAAATTACTCGCGCGGAAATTTAATATCACGAAATTTATAAAATAATATTTAAAACTTAAACACTATATTATCTTACATACAAGATTACGTAATAACGAACATTAATAGTGTATAGAAAAATGAAGTAATTATTACATATTATAATTTATCGTTCAATCAATCATCTTGAATTTGATTTTATAATTTATTCTTTACTTCTAAGAAGTGTTACAATTGATTTTTTTGGGGAATCAAATGAACATAAACCTGAGATATAAAATTTTCTAATAAAAATATTACACAAAACTATTTAGTTTGTTTGGGTGTTATTTTAAAATCAACATACCAGAGTGATGGAGTTCAATTTGAAAACACTTCTATTCCAATTGCAACGTCGAGAAACACATTTATTACTTCAAGAAAAGTATTTACAACTTACAGTAAACTTGAGAATATGTCCATACTTCATATTGAATATGAGCAATTAATTTATTTTATAGTTATCTATGTCTTTGAGATTAAAAGAGGCTCCAATCTAGTCATATTCCTCTATAGGTCATCTGGCACATCCTTGAACCCATGTAAAAAATGTTTATTAATTCTTGTCTTCTTTTCTTGGTTCACTTCACACATCAAGGTGTGATAAAGTTTTTAAAGTCTATATGTCCTTACAATGGCACACCAATTTTGAATTTTGTCTTCAAGAGATGGTAGTATAGATCTTTAAGAATTTTTTTTATTGTATCTTCAACAATTTCAGTAGAGAAAACTTATGTGAATATTCAATTAACGTGTGTTATTTAATATGTACTAAATACTTATAACAATAACTTTTGCAGAAACATAAACAACAAAGTTTAAAACATTGTACTCAAAAATAACAATTAATATCATAAGCATAAATTAATGACCGTAAAAAAAAAACCAGAATCTATAACAATAGAATGAAACATAAAGGAAAAAATCGAGCCTACTGAATGCACAATGTCCCCTTAAGGAAATTATTCCTCTCTAGTACCTGAGGTTTAAAGGAATAAATCCTCTCAGGATGAAACAATTCTATTCACTAGTGTATTGATACAAAAACAATGGTGTCAGTGAGCCACTCAACAGGAGCAAAGTACACAAATATTTAATTGTGCAGAATAAGAAGAAGAAGTTTAGAATTTTCGTTGTTTTAAAATGAGAGGAAATCCCTATATTTATAGACAACAAAGGGTAGTGTGACAAATGCTTATTGTGCCTTATCGGAAAAGTCACAACTCCTTGGAAAAGTTACAACCCTGCGGAAAGGTCACAACCTTTCATAAAAGTTACAACTTTTTATAAAAGTTACAATTTTTCATAAAAGTCACTTTTCATGAAAGGGGAAAGCTAGTTTTGGAAATAAATAAATTAAAAGGAAATATTGGTTTGTGGTGGCGCCATGTAGGTGGGCCTAGAATTCTCGTTTATATATGATATATGATATGATAGTCACATAACTATTGAAAACGAGTGAACAAAGTCACTTTTCTTTCCGATGGTTTATATATGTTTTGCTTGTTAGGATGACAATTTGTTTCAATTATATCTTATAACCATTGTGGGTTTGATGAGTTCATCTAGGCTTATTGGGTTTCTTAAATAGTCACATAACTATTGAAAACTGATGAACAAAGTCATGTTTTTTTATCAGAAAAGTCACTCATCTTTTGTTATTTCACTCAAATGGTATTTCATTTAAAAAGTCGTTCAACCTAGAAAGTGTTATATCCGACTACTTTTCAACGATGTGTCACCTGATTTCTTAAACCAAAAAATTAAATAACTTTAAACGCAACCTGTTTAAACCAAAAAAATCTTCTATCTTACCCAATACTTGACATGTACAATCTCTTTATATACTAGTAAAAGCCGAAAAGGTCCAAAGTTACAAGTTTAGTATCGATAATTGGTTTTTGGTCACTTAAACTCATATTAGTTCCTTTTCCAAATTTTGCTTCTAACAGGAGAAAATTATAGGGAAAATGTCTGATATACCCCTTTAACTTTGTAATTTAGAGCTGTTGTTATAAAAGTGGCTCATATATATACCCTTATTGTTGCATAAGTCGCTCAGATATAGCCTTTTGGTGTAACGGAAGTGAAAAAAAAGTTTTTGATTTGTTTTTTTAAGAAAATTAGTGTAGAGGTGTATTTGATTCTTCTCACACATGCATTTTTTTGGCTTCTTTGATTCAATTGCTAATTTGAGTTTATTATTTTGATGATCAATTTTATTTTTCACTCATTTTCTAGTAATATTTATCATAGATGCCTCAATATTTTTTATAAAGGGAAAAAAGACTAATATACCCTCGAATTTTGTGGGTATTGGGTGGGTTAAACGGGTCATTGGGCGGGTATTTGAATTTTGGGTTAATTAATTGGTCAAATCGGGTTGAGTCGTAAGATTGCGCCACATGTTACTGATTATTCTTCCGTTAGAGTGAAGGGCAAATGTGCTCTGATTTTTGGACGGCACGGGCACTAATGACCGAAAAATATGACGGAGGGTATTTGCATACCATTTATGATAGTTCGGAGGTATATTTGTCATTTTTCCCTAGATAAAAATATGATTGCAATATGGCCGAAATAATAAGTTAAAAAAATCTTACTTTTTCCTCTATTTTCTTGTACACTTATTTCTTTTATTGCTCATATTTTTACCGTAAGGAATGAAAGTAATAAAATAATAATAAGAAATTCAAATAAGGATAAGAAAATGGATCTATGGAGATATTTAAACTTCAAATTAATCGTTAAATCAA